CCGTGGAAGTCGGCTGCAACGAAAATATCACCCCGCGATCGATCTGTAAGTCTGTCTCTAGAAACCGAAATAAATGAAAAAATCATAAATAAAAAAACTGTGAACATATCGGTTTGGTATAAGAACTGTGAACACATAGACAAAAAAACTGAAAAAATCACAAACAAAAGCAAATTAGGGAAATTGGATGCAACAAACCAATTAGGGGATGAACAAGGCTGCGCGATCGATCGGATGAAGAAGGCAGCACGATGAAGAAGGCAGCGGAAATTCAGTTTGAACTGCCGGCAGAATTCAGTGAAGAAACTTCCTTACTGGCGGCCGGCTAATTCCAAATAATTTATAGAAGGAAAGGAAACCTAGATAGTGAGGCTTAGTTTAGAAGTGGGCTGGATACTAAATTTTTTAATATTGGGCTGGATATTGGTAGTGAGTTGGGTAGAATTATACAATATTCTTAAATTATTTCGGTAATCGGTTTTTACCGAAATACCGATCCAAAAAAATTTACCGAACCGAAAATTGAATTCCATAAAAACCTAAAACCGAATACCGAATCAAATTATTTGGTTCGGTTTTGGTACATACCAAAATTTTTGGTTTCGGTACGGTTTGATCGGTTTACCGGAATGTGCTCACTCCTACTCTATACAACTTTCATTTGCCGTATTTGTGTTTAAATTGAAAAAAAGTATTCCGTTCGTCCCAAATTATTTGTCACATTTCTATTACCAAGGTAAAATATCAAGTTTTTTCAATTCATTTTGTTTACATATAAGTAAAGAAATAAAAAATTAAAATTACATATCAAAAAAACTACATGAAAAGTTCTTCGAAATAAGAGGTGTCAAGAATATTTTATTTTATCAAATAACCAAAGAAAATGTAAAAATAAACAAAAGTTCTCACGACTGCTAAAAAAATAAATGTAGCAAATATTTTGGGACGGATGGAGTAACTACTTCGTTAATACGTCTTTGTATTGTAATTTTGTTGCTTGACTTTGGTTCTGTTCTGCACACCTGATCTGATTGAATTTGATTTGAATTTTTGAAATTTTGATTTGATCTAATTGGTTCTGATCTAATTTGTTTTGATTTTTGAAATTCCAACATTTTTTATACGTGCTCCAACTTTCCTTCTCTCTCTCTCCCGTGCAATTATATGTCTCCCGTGCAATTATATGATTTGCGTTTGAATAAAAAACCAACATTGTACGGCGTATATCACTATATCTTCTTCAGTATTTGTCCACATTTAATTTCTTTCAATCAAAATTGGTCAATTTAGATTTCAAATTTAAAAAATTATATTAAATATTGATAAATAAATAAGTTTATTATTCCAAATGTTTTTAAAATATATTATTTTATCTTATTAATAGATAATCTATATTTATTTAATTATAGATCAAATATTAAAAATCAATAAACAAAAAAATTAAAATTGTAAAACATATTCAGAGATGGAGGTAGTAGTTTTTAAAGTACCCACCACTTTTTTTATTTTAGCACTTTCCAAATATCAATGGAGGGACATTTTTACCCAAGTTGAATTGACAAACATTTTTCGAAAACATACATTGTCAATGAACCTAAAGTAATCAATTTGACAATTGTTTTAGTTTCCGATATACTTCCTCTGTCCGGAAATATTCTTCCCGTGTTGACTTGGCACGCTTATTAAGAAATAGTAAAAAAAATGCAAAATTTTCAAAAATGCACATACTCTAAACTTTTAAATCTCCTTTTATTATTAAAAAAGTATTAAAAAAGTATATTTGTGATAAAATAGAATGGTATTATTGATATTTAGCCTTAAAAAGCATACTAAAAAAGGAAATGGAAGATTATTTCCGGACGGACCAAAAAGGAAAATGAGAAGAATATTTCCGGACGGAGGGAGTATGCATCTAGTGTACAAGTCGACCCAAATTATCTTCAAGTAGTTTTTAAGTATATAATTTTTTTAAAATTATTTAAAACTAATTTCAATCAAACATCGTAACGCGTAATGAGAAGATAATTTTTGGAGAGAGGAAGTAATAACCAAATAAAGCTTGACTTTTTGTTTGTTTGTTTTGTACTTGTTGTCCAACCAAATATCCTCTAAATTGTCATAGACCAAGAGAAATAGCTAGGGGTGGTTGGTGGAACCGATGGAATAGGAAATAAATACCCCTTCGATAAGCCATGGACCAGAGGAAGAAGAAATTGTTTGGTTGCATAATTTGCATTTATTGGTTGCTTGGAGTGGACTCCTCACATGGTTTCTTAGACTTTTGAATCATTTTTCTTGTTTGGATTCCTCTATGGAAATAAATGCATTTTCCGTTCATAGAAACGAGTCTTGGATGTAACAAAAACATCAACAATTTTGATCTATATGTAGGTATGATAACAAATGGGAGGTTGCAATCCCATAGACTTTTATTTCGACTCCAAATTGGTAGTTATGAGACGTTTTTTGTATACCACCTTTTGTTGTAGATTTGTATGTTTATTGGGGTCACTTTCGCTGACACTGACTCCAGTTGACATTACGGTGTCACTATATTTTTAAACCACCTACGGTATTTGATTTATAAAATTGATGACTGATTATTTTTATCTTCGGTAAACCCCACCTTGCCTTGACTTTAACCTACATCCAATCCTTCAATTTCAAAAAATTTGATTCAAAGTCAACTAAATTTGAGAATTAAAATTGAAGAGATTGGGTCGATCGGTACTAGGTGTACAAATAGTGTTTGTGTTTGCCTGGTGTACAAATGAGGTAGACCATTTTCATGTACTCCTAGCATGATCCCATGAAAAAATGTGCAATTTAGTCTAGAAGAAATGTAAGTGTACACTGGCCATACGTCCCAATTCGTTTGGATTGTTTATGATTAAAATCAATCGTAAGATTGAAAGTTAACAACACATGAATAGCTCTCATTGTGTGTTTGTGTGTTTTTATGAAAGCTTGGTGTATAAATGAAGTACTCCTAGCATTATCCTTTCTCAATACGTCCATGAGTGGGGCAATCAAACTACTTCGTAATTTAGTTCATGAATAAAAAAATTAAATACATGAACTGTTTGTTCTAAAAAATGTTAAACATCAAATTAAAAGATAAGACAAAAAGACCATTAAAAAGAGAAATTTACTTAAACGGAAATAAAACATAATGACTTTCATAATATAGGATCATATATTTTTATTTTCTTATGTAGGACCTTTGGTCATTATCAAATAGTCATTATTCAAGTAATGTTTATCATTATTGGATATTATTCCTCCTAATAGGTCATTATTAAGTCATATTTAGAAAATAAAAAAGTTTAAATGTTATATTAAAAAAATTATTATATTTTAGCCCTATTTAGTACGGAGTACAAATTTCACTATTAAAAAAGTAAAACAAGTACGGAGTAAAAACAACATTTATGTGTTGTTAAAGCAAGAAAGATTGGACGACCATGGTGTGTGTGAAGCTACACACTACTCATCCATTTTCTAGTACACCACAACAGTCAAACATTTGACTAGTCATACATATATAATGCTACCTCCGTCCCACTCTTTTTGTCCAGTTTTGACTTTTGGAACTGTTCATCTAAGCACCTTGACTAATCAAGTTTTCTCAATGTGTAAGTCTAAAAATAGTCATGTGTGATCTTGTTTGATTTGTCTTAACATATAGATTATTAATATATAATTTTTATAATTTTTTAATATATAAATTACAAGATAAAATGGATTAAAAAAGTGCATTGGATGGTGTACAAAAATGAAAGAGGACAAAAGGAGTGGGACGGAGGGAGTACGAAGTATATATAATAAATTAAAATACAAAAATTATATCAAATTATTTGGTATCAAATAGTATTTTAAATGTACTATCAAAAGATTATTTTTAAAACTTTTTTACTAACATATTTAAAAGATACTGTTGGTCAAACTTTAAGTTCGAAAAGTAAACCGGACAGCTAAATGGAAATGGAGGGAGTGTGCATTTATCCAAATGTTTCAAATTATGAACTGAGATCCCCTAGTTATCTTTATGCTACGTATTATTTTAGAGTAAATATTTCTTATTTGAATTGTCTCACAATTTACTTTGGTTTTTCTTTTAAAGGAGAATATTACTCCATGTGTGATTCTTTTCATTTTCATTTTTCAACCCATATCATAACTACACAAATTTTATTTTATTAAAAGAGTTATCAAGTCAAAAAAAATCATATACTCCGTAGAAGAGGCGTATAGAAAGTGACTACAATTTGTAAATGGATTTCGTGAGATTTGTGGTGATTCGATCAAACACCAATAAGTAATAACGTCTCTATTTAGAAAATATTATTCATGTGAGTTGTGTTAATATGGAAATTAATATTGTTCATATCCTACGATTTGGTTATATTAGATCTATTAATTACCCAGTACTAAACCAGGTGTGTGTCAATATAATCGCATCCTTTTAAGTATGTTGATCAATACTAATTAGACAATTTAATATAATTTCATATATATATATATATATATATATATATATATATATATATATATATATATATATATTCTTTTATTAGCAATTTCTTTACAACTCCATTATTGATATGTGAAAACAACATTTTCATTTTTTTGAAAGCAAAGTCGTTAATTACTGTACACTTCATAATTTACTTTTATAAAAGTTTTAAAAAAAAAGTGTTAAAAGTAAGGTTGATCGTGGTACGGTATGGAGAGAAGAATCTCATATTTTTGGCAAAACGGGCCTAAGAGTAAGGTTGATCGTGGTACGGTATTTAGCTCGTACAGATACCGTACCAAATACTTCGGTTCGATATGAGATTTTACGTTGTACCGATCTCGATCCCGAAGCATCAGTTTGGTATGGCTCGAGATGGTTTGGTCGCCCCTCCCCGAAGTTCTTTAATACCCAAATATAGCGCCTAGCTAGCTCATACTAGTCGTTAGTCGTAATATTTTCTCCTGTACAGAAAATCTTACTTCAATGTTGGGCCCACCAATAATGCAGGGGTAGTTTTGTCATTCGGCAGGCCGACGAGTTATATCCGTTAGGACCGTTACTCCGCCCGCAAATAAGGAGGGGAAAGAGGCGACATGAGCGTTTTACAATTACACCCTCCCACCCAACCAATTTCAATTCTGCATTTAAATTCATCTGATCCTAATGAAGACGAAGAAGCTAATCTAAGAAGGTAAATTCATCCCTGCGATCGCCGCTATGGACTTTTCCGACGAGAATTACGAGCCGAAATCGACTCCGAAGCTCTCCCTGACAAAACTCCCGACCAGAAACAGAGTAGCCCTGACATCCCTCACGCCGCCGCCTCACGCGGCGGCTTCCGTGCCTTTCCAGTGGGAGGAAGCGCCTGGAAAACCGCTGTCCTCCGCCGCCGGAGATATTCCACCGCCGCCGGTCTGCAGGAGCCTGGACTTGCCTCCGAGGCTTCAGGCGGCGGTGGACCTGTCCGACGACTTCAGCCGGTCCTCTATGTCTTCGTTCTCGTCGTTCCGCAGCCTCGACGATGCGCTCGTCGTGAGGATAATGAGGCGAGAGAGCAAGGAGGGATCCGCGTCGTTCTCGCCGCCGCTAACGCCGGCGGGAGGGGAACATCAGCCGGGATTGAAGGATGAGAGCAGAGCGGCGACGGCTGGGGCTATCGGCAAGGGCAATTTGGACTTTTCGTTCTCGTTTTCGTTACGGGACGGTAGTTGTAACGGCGGCGCGAAGAAGGTGGCACGTGGTGGGAGAAAAAGCAGCCTCTTGACTTCCTCACATACTTCTAGTCGTCTCTTGGTAAGTGTAACTAACTCCCTTCATTTCACTACACAACAGCACCTAATTACTACTCCGTAATTATTAATCCATCATTAGTAAAAAATATTTTCGTATGAGTGTTTAGATTTTAAACAACTGGTCATTAATTCGTCACATATATTTAAATTTTGATCAAATTTGAATAAGATAAACATAGACATATATAATTAATATCCATGTTTATCTCCTTTTATCTCAAATTAAATTGTGAGTTTTTATTCAAATAGACAAGCTTTATTCATTTTCTTTTTTATTATTTTTGTTACAAATTTAATAAAGTAATATGATCATGTCACTTTGTAGAGTTTTTGATATGATTATTAAGTAATACATAAAATTTATGTTTTAATTACACTCCAAGTTTCTAAAAAATTGCATTGAAAATAATTTTATTCAAATATCGTAAAACAAAATAAATAATTTAATTTGGACGAAAAGAGTAGATTATTAAAGGTTAATATGTTTATAAAATTATAATGAACATCCATCTATTTAAAATTCTTGTTTTTGCACATTACTACTTCATGTAAAATAAAGTTTACATCAATAGTTCTAAATTCATATATTTTTGTGCTACCAAACAACAAAATTGAAATTATTGTCCCCAATTTCAATTTCATAGTTTGAATCTCGTGTATCAAATGGAGTCTTAAGATGCCTTAGGTTGAAAGAAAAAATCCTTTTATAAAAAAGGAAAATATTTTTTCTAGAAAATAACGGAGTATATTCCATGTTAATGAAATTTAAGTAAAATTATTTTTCTATTACATTTTCTATTAGTAGAAAGAATATTTTCTTTTCACAAAAACATTTAGTTTATAAAAGAATATTTTAATACTCCCTCCGTCCCTCAGTGTTTGTCTACTTTTATTTTTGCACATCATCCAATGCACTTCTTTAATCCATTTTATCTTGTAATTTGTATATTAAAAAATTATAAAAATTATATATTAATAATCTACTACCTCCGTCCCGTGAAACATTTCCCCTTTCTTTTTTTATCCGTCCCACAAAACACTTCTCATTTCTATTAAAAACTCACTTTTACCCCTTACTTTTTCATACCCTAACTATCACATCATACCTTTTTACTAATAATCTATCCATCAAATCATACTTTTACTCATCACATCAAAGGACATTTTTGGAAATTCAATACCAAAATACACTCCCTTAAATCCCTCCTAAAAAGCAAATGAGAGAATTTGATGAGTCAAAGTGCTTAGATGAACAATTCCAAAAGTCAAAAGTGGACAAACACTCAGGAACGGACCAAGTAAAAGATTATAAAAGAATTAAAAGATTAAAAGAATATTTTAGCAAAGTCTAAATTGGAGGGGGAGAGTTCTGAGTTTAAAGTCTGAATATAAGGGTCTGTTTAAACACGAAATTGATGGAATTTGAATTGAAAATTTAAATTCTATGGAATTGATCTGAATAGAATTGAACTCTCCAATTCTGAATCATTTTTGGCATTATCATTTCTAAATCTATATTTTTTGTGCTACCAAACAACAGAATTGAAATTGTTGCCCATGATTTTATTTTTATAGTTTGAATTTCGTATGCCAAGTGTAGCCTAACTGTAATTTCAATTAAAATTTGGATACTAGAGTGACGAGCATAACCTAAATTTGAAGTCTAAACACATTTATAGTATTTTGTGATAACATAAGTTTGATTTTTTTTTTGAATGAAAATTTGAATGTTTCATTTAGGTACTTGTTTAGTCACTTTTGTGCAATGGATTCAACCTATTCCGGTGATGGGTTCACAATTATAAATATCGCATATTCCCTTCAACCTAAAAAGAGAATGACACAATAACTATTTCGGTTTTTTGATAACATTTGTTTGTTTACTTATTTTGATTAGTCATTTGATAGAATAATGTTTCATCTTGTTTTTTAAAATTTTTGATGTAAAAAAAATTATATTTTGCATGAAATTTGAAATGTGGCAAAGACGGAGGGATATATTAAAGCATAAAGTTAAAAAACATGTCGTTATTGTTATTGATTGTACAACATAAAGTCTAAAAACATGTTGAATGATAGGTTGGACACTTGGACTAAAAGAATGTCATAGTACTATTTTAAAAGGAAAATGCTAGGTGTACACCAAAAGAGTACCCCATTTGTCTCCCACCCTTCCATTACCACTTAAATAGGCAAGAAATTTAAAAAAAATTAAGTAAATAAAAATTAAAAATAAATGAGTGGTTATGGAGGGGGTGATGTACAAATGGGATACACCTTTTGGTGTACCCCTAGCATCTCTCATTTTAAAATAGTGGGTATTTCTCTGTTTATAAGTGTTTTAGAATTGTTTTAAAATAGTTTTTAATTTAGAAATCAGTTAATGACATATTTTTATGTATTTATAAGCTAACTTATAAGCTACTTATAAATCAGAAAAAATAACAAGGTCATAACTATTTAATTTTAAGATAATTTTTTTATTTCTCCATTTTGATTGTATTATTTACAAAACTGTTCCTAAGCATTTATGAATATTTACACATGATTTATCTACTCTCTCCGTCCCTAAAAGATTGTCATAATTTGACTTTTTTAATCAAACTGTGACACTTTTTTACTACAAATTAAATATAGTTTAAAATAATGAAATATTATAAGAATTTGATATTTCAAAATTATATTTTAAAATAAACTCAATTTTACTAAATTTATATTATAACTAAATATATTTTTTCTATAATTTATAGTCAAAGCGGACCTCAGTTTGACTGAAAAATCAAATTGTGGTAATCTTTTAAAAACGGAGGGAGTATCATTTAAGTCATTTTACTTTCACGAAAAAATATTTGATTTATAAACAATTTATATGTTAGAAACTATTATCAGTAATATAGAGAAACACTACCATTATATCATAGGAGCACTCTTTTCTCTTTGCAATATAATCATCCCTTCATCTCATGCCAAAGAGCACACTTCCAATAAAGTTGCAAAGTTTATAAACTTGTACTCTATATTTTATTTAAAAATGATTTGAGTGTATTGAAATAAAAAATAAAATTCAGATACTCTCTTTATCCTCATAAGATGTTCTCATTTTGACCTTTTGTGATTTTCAAGGAGGATTGAAAAAATGTGTAAATTTACTAAAATATCTTTTATGAAAATGAGTAGAGTATATATTAAATGAGGTGTAATAAATAAATTAAATGAGTTAGTTATGTTATTTTAAATGTTAAAAGGGCGAATAAAAATCTATGGTGAACAAATAATTAAAAAGGACTAATAGTAATACGAAACAGACTGTATTTAAAAATTACATTAAAAATTCTATGACATGAGTATAATATTTTATCAAATTAGCAACAAAACACTAAGACTATGTTTGGCTCGAGGATTTTGGAAGGAAAAGAAAAGAAAATAGTTTCTACTCATTTTCCTCACCAAAATGGAAGGAATTTGATTTTCCCTCCGCTTGGTACATTTTGCCTCCTCATTTTCTTTTCCTTCCACTTTTCCTTTCTTTTCCCCTCTAACCAAACAAGAAAAATAGTTTTCCACTTCATTTTCTTTTTTTTTCCTTTCAAATTCCTTGAACCAAACATAGTGTAAACAAAAAAATTATTGAAAGACTGAAATAGTTTTGTATATACATTAATTGCAGACACGCATTTATGAAAGTTTTAAGCACGCGGTCCCGCTGTGGAGGAAGAAAGCCTGAATGAACCATCTTCAAGTTGGGCCGGGCCGAGCTGGACTGGTTATATATATCATGTTTTCGTGATCTTTGGTCGTTGTTTTTAACTATTAATTATTAAAAGTTCAAAAAGATACTCCGAGTACATTATTATATAATACAGAGGCCACATTATGATGGGGTATTTATATATATAAATATAACTATGGAATTGAATAATATTAGGGGAGACAACATTATATTAATTAATTAATCAAAGAGAGGCCCGATATGTTAGGGAAGTGTCATCGTTTTCATGATGACCGATCGGCAACAATTACTGTGAAATTAGAACTTATGACACTTATTTTTGAATATTTTATCGACTTTTACGATGTTTCGTTACAACTAAGATCGGATCTTAATTGCTCTTATAACTATAACGAACTTACCCGTGCATATCCAACCTTCATTACTATATTATTGTTGTGGTATATGTATAAAATTTCACATCTAGAAACATTTATTTTTTATGTTCTGGTCAAGCTAGCATGTGGGAACACGTACAGTTCATAGAAATAGTAATAATGGAAGTGGAAGAGGGAGTAAAAAGGGTGAATATATGTGGGTTTGGTTTGGGAAAGCGATACAATTGGACTGGCCACACTACAAAAAAACTGCATTTTGGCATGAACTTTTATGCTACCGAATATGAGAATAATGAGATTAATGTCATTGGCACAACATTCCGCATTTAGTCCAATATTTTCAAATGTTACGTCTCTACTCTTCCTTTTATGTGTATCTTTCTTTCGATAGTTCATTTTTTGACATTCTGTCATGTTGATATTACATTGAAAGCAAGAAATGTAATTTCATAATGATTATATATCCTTCTTGTCAGAATCCTAATCCACTGTCATAGTCGTTATTGTTGTGTGCTTTGTCTCTCAAGCTGATCGGTGAGACCCTAATTGGTACTCCGTATTTCGTAAGGATTGACTTTTTATTAGATTGACTTTTTCGCTTGAAATAAATTTGTAAGTTCTTAAAGAAATAAGATGTGATTTTCTAATTAAAAAAACAATCAAGTTCAAAACGAACATGTTGGGACCAAGATTCGAGAATCTATAAGAAATACGGCATAGTATTTTATCTTCCACCCTTTTCATATTATTATTATTATTATTATTATTATTATTATTATTATTATTATTATTATTATTATTATTATTATTATTAGAGTAAATTCCATAATTGATCTTTTATAACAGAGGAGTTTCCCTATTTAGTCATCCATTATCAAATATTACCCCAGTGGTCCTTCTTTTATATGTATTTTTTCATAAATAGTCCTTTTTTGATCTAATTTGAGGGCTAAAAATTTAATTTAATAATGATAATATATCTTTTTTGTCACACACAATTCCAAAGGGTGTTCCATTTGCGTCGTTTGTGAATTACAGTCGCTTTCTACTACAACCATAGTCTACAAATGAGGTTTTTCATCGGAATTCTAGCCCACAATTATAGTCATTATTTTTATGTTATCTGCTTAACCAATATCAGAATACGTCACTAGACATAATGTTGATGTCAAATTATACTTTTAGCCTTTAAATTAACACCAACATGACAGATGATAAAAAAAAGGACAATTTGTGGAAAGACACTTTAAAAAAAGGACTACGAGGATAATATTTGATAATAGAGGACTAAATTATACTCCCTCCGTTCCTCATAGATCTTTCCAATAGCCCTTTTTCTTTGTCCGCAATAGATCTTCTCATTTCATTTTTTAACAATTAAAATACCACAACTACCCTCACTTACTTTATTTATTACACCTCACCCAGCTCATTTAATACACTCCACCCATTTTCATTAAGGGTGTTATGGTAAACTTTCACCTTTTTTCAACTCTCCTTAAAATTCACCAAAAGTCACAATGAGAACATCTTAGGGGGACGGAGGGAGTACTTTCCCTTCCTTTTCAATCTTTGCAGTTTGCACTCTTGTTGGGAACGTGTTTTGAAGTTTATACCTCACCGAAAAAATCAAACAAATAATTGTACTCACATATAAAAAAAAGTAAAACTCTATTCATTAGCTTAAATAAGATACTCTGATACATTTGTGTATATTATCGTGGCGTTTTTTGTGGTAGCAAACTTGGAATTTCTCCCTATAATGATTCCGTTTGAAATTTCCTTTTGCTAACGTTGAAATTTTGAATGTGAGGTGTGACATTACTACTTAAAGTGGATGAATGATTTTAAAAAGCTTTGCTGTAAGAAATTTGGCTTTATACTACCTATGGAGTATTCATTTTAGTGGCTAACATTTTAATTGCTCTATTCACTTTTGTTGTTTGAAAAAACTACCTTGACAATTTAATAATATGCTCTTCCCTCTCATAATTTTTTTTCACACCTTAATTTCATTATCTCGATATTCCAAATAAACTAAAGAGTATCTACCACACACTTTTTTTAATTTTTAACACCTTTCAAAAAACATCATACCAATTAACCACTCTTATTTAGGACAAGATTAGTCCAATTTTTTTCACGCGCAATCGATCTAGATTAGTTCTGTTTCAATTTAAAGACTTTTTTAACTTGGGTAATCCGGTTAGGAATGATCAAGTCCAGCCGGGTCTTTGCTTTTAGTAATATACTCTATTTACCGTAAAAACTTTAATTTTTGTTCTTTAGAAAATAAAAAAACTTTAATTTTTGACGATTTAATTTATTTTATTTTTATACTCTGTGAATGTAAATTCCATAATAAAATAAATATTTATGCAACATAAATATTTTTATTTAAGGTAAAAGTTGAATATTAATCAACAAATAAATTACTCCAACTGTTTTGTACTCTGTATATATGAGATTCTTTTATTTTGCTTGGTGAGAGAATATAGAAATGGTGCGACAAAACAATTCCCTTGGAAATACGGCGGAATATGTTTATGCACTTTATTGAATTTCATACGTATGACTGTTCTAACAGCACGCCGGTCTGCCCCAATCTTCTTCCTTATTACCCTCTCCCTTTGTCCCCATCCATTTTTCTTCTTCTTCTTCCAATCTCTTCTTCCCACTCGTCTTTGCTGTGTCCCCCTTTTTAGCAGTCAAATTCTTGAAGCCAAACCGCTCATATCTCTCTGGTTTTCATGATTAAATCCACCATTTTGGTTTTGCTTTCCACTTGAATCCCACTATACTGAAGTGGCTCTTCACCTACCTGCCAATCCCAAGTTTCTTTCTCTTTTCTGCATAAATCCCTCTCCGCTCTTCATGTTTCCCTGGTTTGGATGATCAAGAAAATCTGAGATTTGCAGGTGATGAGTTCTTGACTTTCCCAGCCATTTGGTTCTCAATTTCATTTTCAAGTTCCCTTTTTGGCAGTTCTGTTACTGAGTATATTGTTTCTGGGATTACTCCACGAAAGATTGCAGATTTTTTTAATCTTCTCTTCTCATTAGTTTGTAAAGAGAACAATGGGTTGATTTTATGAACTGGTTTTTCTGGCTTGTTATCAGTTGATTGTGCTGTTTACAAAGAGAACAATGGGTTTATTCATAGCTTTGAACTTATTCAATGCATTAGTTTAAGTATATTCTCTTTCTTTTTATTTTCCAAATTGGTTTCTAATTTCTATGAAGTCATGGTTAATACACATTTATATTCTGCTTATATGTGTGATGAGTGCACTTAACAGCTTCTAAGTGCTAGCTAGCTTTTACCCTAGAAAACTAAAGCTAAAGCATTGAAATAGGATAAGGGCATTGCACCAATTACCAGTTATTCATGGGAACATTAAATGCAACAACTATGCACTTTCCTAGAGAGCCCGTAAATCACGGCGAGACTTCAATGCAGCAAAGTGTGCTGTTCTCCGAGAGTCTGAAGGTATTTCTTTTCCTTTTCATGCTTTAATAACATTTCTTACTACACATGGTAGACAATTTCTTTGGAATTCCTTGCAAGAAATTACCATAAAAGAAGTGTGCTTTTCAGGACTTGAAGAACCTCCGAAAACAGCTGTACTCTGCAGCTGAGTACTTTGAGTCATCTTATTCCAATGATGATCAAACCGAGATGTGAGTGAAATGTTTAATCTAACTGGGAAAAAAAGATAAAGAAGAACACAATTCCCCATTCTCTGGTGTCATTTGTTCTGTTTCACATGTAGAGTTGTAAATACATTGAAAGATTATGCCATGAAAGCTGTTTTGAACACTGTGGATCATTTGGGCTCTATGACATGTAAGGTGAATGATCTATTAAATGAAAATGTTGGCGAAGTTTTCAAAACCGAACTTCGGGTATCTTACATTGAGCAGTTAATAGTTTGTCCACTTCAAAAATATTTTTTTTTATGTTTTGTTATTTTTTTATTGGGAAAACTGGAAAATTCTTGATCACCGGTTAATATTTTCCATGCGTAGAGATTAAGGTCATGCCAACAGTATATTGATTGTGAGGGTCTTTCGCAGCAATCTTTGCGTATAAACACTCCCAAATACCATAGAAGATACATCTTGCCAGGTAATTAAACCTTGCCTTTGGGTTTCGTAACCCATTGAATTATATGTTAATCTGTATTTTATATTTGATCAATCTGAAATGACACAAAAAACTTTACTTTCATAGATGGTGAAGGCATGCGTGGTCTTGATGCTGAAGATGACTGGTCTGAGTTTCGAAATGGTAATTTACCTTCCACACAGAGTGACAGAGAACAAACATTGACTAGTTTTCTAACATGATATCAATTATATATTTCTGCAGCTGTTCGAGCAACGATTACACAGGGTCCTATCGAATTCGTGTAAGTAGGGAGTTTTGGTAGTTCATCACATTGGCATTTTAAGTTACCAGTCATTAACATGTTGAAGGGTGCATTAACAGAAATGGAAGCTGTTCTGCTCTAGATTCTCGAGGACTCTCTCAGGACTCTCGTGATTTTTCGTTCTCAAAAGCCGAGTCCAAAAGAGATTCAGGTTTGTTGTTGCATTTCCATTTCCTTCCCTCACCAATGCTGTGTGTTTTTTCGTGTTCTTGTCTTAAAGATAGAAACTTTCATGCTTGAAAACTATCAACTTAATGACCAAAATGACCTTGTGTTTGTGTTTTCTCTAGGACCAGAGAAGCGAAGGACAGTGTCACCACACCGATTTCCTCTCATACGAACGGCATCTCTGGCTAGAAGGTCGAGCACACCTAAAAAATCTCGGCAAACAACCCCTAAAAGCTCCTCGCGGTCTACAACGCCGAATCCAAGCAGCCCCACCACTCCAAATCCTAGAAGACTGGTAAACACTGGATCTCCTACCCTGCAATTACTCTTCATCTGTTCTTAAGTGATGACATTTCTTAGGCTCCACTTGGCATCCATAACTACCATTACCTAGCTTGTGCCCTTATACTTGATTAAAAATATGTTAAATGATTATATGCATGGGGTTTGATGGCCTAATGGAGTTTCATGGTTTGGTGAAACAGTATCCTTCGGAACCTATTAAATCAGCTTCAATGAGGCTCCATACAGACAAAGAAATACGCAAAGATTTGGATCATCACCACACAGGCAAAAGCAAACGTCTCCTTAGATCTTTGCTTAGCCGGCGCAAGTCAAAGAAAGACGAAACACTATATACGTACATCAATGAATATTAACAAACAATACAAGACCGACATTGAACATGGATTAGAAACTCAAATCCGTTTAAATTTTTTTCCACCACTTTGCAATGTTACCATGTATTTTTTTTCTCTATTTAATATACTGCGCTTATAGGTGGAGTAAGGTTTGCATACGCTTACCCTCTCCCCACATTTGGAAGCTCGCTGAGTTATTTTTTACTGTTCTGCCTTCTCGTATTTGCACAAAAGCAATTCCATGTGTTATTGTTAAGTTCGTTTAATGACATGAAGTAATATTTGTGGGCATATTGTGCACTTTTTGTGAATCTGTTAACTAGTAGAGTTAAAAGGTTCAATGTAGGGTGTCTTCATTCTTAAACAAAGTGGGTTGAATGATGCACAGAAACTGCCAGATTAGAGAGGTAAATGAACTACAATCAGCAAAGGAAATCATTAATGCAGTGGTAAATACAGCTCTCTTTGAATTCGTAAATTGCCAGATATGTAAAATGTAGAATGTGTTCTAAATTTGCTTTGTAGATTTCACCTTTCACCATTCATTGCAAGACAAAATCGAAGCATGAACTTCAGAAGTGTTGTGAAAAAGATACAAAAGCATACAAGATCATCATCAATGATAAAAACTACCAAGAATAGTCAGGTCCAAAAATGTTGAGAGTGTAACTGCTATCATAATTTCTTAAATGGACCAAATTCTTCAATTGTCTTGGCTGCAAGAGTAAGAACATCCACAAAAGCACTGAAGGATGCGCGAAGGAATCTAGCTTCAATAGCCTCAAAATGCCTGCCAACATAATAAAAGGATAGGAAAATAAAATAATCCCTATTTAGAATTGACAAAAAAAGATGCTTATCATCTGGTTTGGCAATATACAAGTGGATTAAGAAGTTACTCCTTTAAGATATTGAGTTTTACTGTAGGGAGTAAAAACAGGTACTCACACTAGGAGCTTTCCATCCGAAGCTGACATTACCCTTTTCACCTTATCAGGTTGCAACTGCAATTGAAATTAAATGAAACAGAAAACGATTTTTCCTTCAATGATTTTAAATTATGAAACAAACTACAATTAGTATTTAATACGGAGTAGAACCTTACCTCCTTATCAACAGAGAGAGCCGTGTAGATGATTTGGGCATTTTCTTGAGATCCAAGATTCACCTCCAAGTCACTTTGCACAACACACCAAGTCATTAACTTGGTCAAATGAAAAATCAAGAAAATCCCAAAAATAGTAAATGTGAAAAAGGAAGCAACTTTACCATTCATTCAAACAAATAAGAGAATCTGATTTCTACAATACAATTTCGATTAGGCTAGCATGTGAACATAGTTCAAAGATAGAGGTAGACTACCAGGTGAAGTCCCACTGCGACTGGGCATTCATTGTTGTTGCCATGTCTGAACCAGAAACGTAGATTTGGAGGGAAAAGGTCGAGTTTTGACCTAGGAAGCACAGGCACAGCAAAGCTCTTTGTTAAATCAAATACAAATTACTTAATGAAGTTCATGTTTCAAAGTTTTCATAAGAACCAAAACATAAGGACTTGCTTACAAATCGAATTGCTTCAAATGTGAAAACTAAAATAAACCAAGGCAATAAGAAAAAAAGATGAATAACTAGAAACTAATCATCTTCACCACAAGTTCCCCGACATTATCAAGTACTCCGTAATATACACTCCACCAATTCAAGCTCATCAAGGGAGAGTTCTATCATCTTGAGACACCACCCAAGTTAACAATTCTAAAACTTCAAGACAAACAAGCTAAAAAAATTTTAATCAATAATGTTTACTATTCTGCAAGGCTGCAATTACAACTCTAAAGCATAAAACATGAAAACAAAAAGGAAAAAAACTCAAAAGATTAGAACTTTAGAACTAAAACCTAAAACTATAACCTAATTCTACGCATTAAAGCTTAAAAACTAAGATTGAGATCCTGAAAACAGAGAAAAGCATCACAAATTGAAGAAACACATACCTTTTGAGCAGGGTCGGTGCTGAGAATTCAATGGCCCGGGCCGAAACAAAAAAAAAAGACCTTAAAAATCTTATCTCTAATAGTCTAACAAATTAACGTATGTAAACTAATTTTATTTAAATGGTAATTAATGCAATATTATTAGAAGAAAATAAATAAATGACAAAATCATAGTATTATAATAACATGCCGTAAAACCTAGCCGAGGATTTGAGAAGTTCTCTTTGCATTCTTGAGAGCAAATTGGTGGATCACATCTTCGCAGTCTATACTCTCTAAGATTTCATCTCGTTTTTCTTTTTACGTTTTGACTACCGGATAGATGTTTAGCACTCATAGCTGTTGGATTATTTCTGAAATAAAATCTAAATTCATAAATTCTACGGAGTACAAAGTAAAATCAAATATGGAAAAGCAAGCAAATAAATTCATATATCATAAATTCATACCCGTCAATTTTTTGGTTTTTTTCCTTTTTCAGTTTTCATTTATATATATATATATATATCGTAAATTCATATCGATTTCTCTCTTTTTTTTTTAATTTTTTTAGTTTTTCCATTTCAGTTTTTTTTTTGAATTTGTCAGTTTCAGTTTTTTAAATATATATCGTAAATTCAAATCAATTCATCCAAATCAAATAAAGAACATATGGAACCATTAATTCATTCATGTTCCATAGCCGTTAGCAAGGATTTTGAATTAAAAATTAATAATCTATCATAGATTTTATATCCAAAGAATGAAATTATGAAAGAAAGGAAAAAATTATAAAATTGGAAAGTTACTGAATATGGAATGCCTGGAGGGTGCGGCGGCGGCGGCGTCTCCCTACCGGCGGTGTTCTGGCACACGGCACTCTCTCTTCTCCTATTTGGTTCAGTCTGGTTCGGAGCTTCTGCCGTTTGTCTCCGCGACTAGCCGACTGCCGGTTCTTCACGGAGATGGGGCGGCTAAGGAGATGGGCTTTTGACACATTGGGCTGGATGCTAGACTTCCATACATATACCGGAGTAATATTTTAAAAACGTTGGGCCCTTAAAATTATGAGCCCGGTCCGGACGGACTGCTTGTCCCCCTATTGGGCCGGCCCTGCAGGTTTTTTGAGTTAGAAAGAGTAATGGAACAAGATATTATACCCATTTTCAAAGAACATTAGTACAATCCACCAATTTTCACATCAATGAACAAATACCTAATTCTCACAAATCAGCACAATCCGACCCAGGAATACCTTCGCCCATTGAACGAGCAGACGAAAAAATGAACAAAAAAACCGGTTTCAGGCTAAATTGTAAAAGTCTAGACCGGTCTCTGATCTTACAATGAGAACCGGCACAGTTCTAGTCCATTCAGGTCAAAATCTGGATGTTTTTTGGGTTAGATCAGGCTGTGTAACCTGTGTTTATTTATTTTTTTATTAGTTTCTCTTTTAATACTTATTTCTTATTTTTTTCTTAGGAAAAATTATCAAGGATAATCTTAATTTTATCTATTTTTTCAAAAAAAAAAAGAAGGACGTGTACATACTGTGTATAATACGTAAAATATTAGAACCTATTGCTCCATATACATTTGTTTATTTCTTATCAATTTCAGTTTAGTTCCTATTGGTTACCTTAATTATTTTATTAATTTTATATAGTTTTAGTTATTTTTCTCATTTTCGTTATTTTTTATATTTATTTTTTTACATTCTCTTAGGCAAGACTAAGCTTTAAAAAAAATAAAAAAAGAAAATGAGGCTAGAAAGTCATTTTAAAAATTTAGACGAAAAAATTTAAGAAAAAAAATATAAAACAAATGTTCATAAAAATTAGTTCTAACTTTTATTTTGTTGTGTAAAACATGCATTTCCGTTAACTCACTGTTAACAACAACCAAAACTTGTAAATTTGAATAAAATTGGGATTATTATGCATCACAATGAAAGTTGATATTATTTTTGAAAGATCAGATGACGTTGAGATTATTTCAGATAAATTTTCTTAAAAAAGATATATTTTCATTCTATAGCATTTCAAATGTAATAATGAGGATGGCGCTTAAAATTAGATAAACACACTACAAAAGTTCAACACAATTTTTCATATTCATTTTATGAAACTTAGTACATTTGTAATATTAAAGAAGTGAGCTTTTGCAATAAAGAAGTGGAAAACATAATTTAAAACTGAGGAAAATTTTATTAAAAAAATTTGAATGTGTTTAGGTCGTCAGTAAGTTTATTACTATCCCAAATTTTGTGTACATTTGACCATAATGGACGAATATTATAATTTATAAACCATGATCACGATAAGTTAAAGAAATAATGTTTAGTTGAAATGTAAATTTAATACAATTTGATCCATTTTACCAAGTCATTTCGATATACATGTTATTTTTACAAATTTGTTAATTATCAACACGTAACACTAATGATACTAAAAAAAATTGGACTTGGTTCTCATGACATTGATTCTACCCCTTTAGTTGCACCATCCAAATTAATTTTGACTTTGGAGTCAAATTTTGACTCTAAGATCAAAATTAACTTGGGTTGCAATTGAAGGGGGTGGGGGCGTGTGTTCGGGTTGGGGCGGAGTGGGGAGTTTACCGCGGTAGAAACTGTCAATTTTACGAACGACCCCGGGTTATCCCATGACATTGACTATCAATGTCACGGGAACCGATCCGAAAAAAATAATGCAAAAAAATTTATTTTGAAATCCCGAAGAGTGGTTTTGGGTGTGCCAAACATACACCATACGAGAAGGAGAACGTTCAAATCTTAAATCATGCAAATTCACATGATTTTGGCATATGACCAACTCAAAATTATGGATGAATATTGAGTTTTTGAATATATTTTTTCATCTGATTAACCACTTTGAAAGTCAAAATGAATTTTACACTATCGAATACCAAATGACATTAGAATATTTTGCCTAAAATGCTTCTTGCTTGTGAGAACCTTTCAAAAACTAATATGAATTTACTTGTTCCATCCATTCCCAATTCGCACGGCGTGTGCGGTTCCAATTTTTCATCATGTACAATTACATTGCGATCGTCAACAATTCCCTAAAACACAACATGTGCGAATAAGCTCCCCGAGGGAAGGGGATGGTAAAAACGACAAAACTCCCTTGCAAAGGGATAAACAATTGGAAAAAAGTTACCATCATTATAACAGCTCTTCTTGCGTGCTTCTTCATGTGAGGGTGGCTCCAATTTTTGCGGGTTTTACGACGCTTTTAATAGCTCTTCTCATGTGTTCAAATGATAGTAGGAAAAGGCTGAAAATGAAGAGAAGAAAGACTTGGAGCCTTCCTATGATGTAAAAGAAAACAAAAGATAGACCGTTCGGTCTGGTAATTGACAACCGAATCATTTTCCACCCTGGCAATTCATCGATATATATATAAGAAAAGCCATTAGAATGCATTTGGCAGTATCTTAGAGGAAGCGATGTAGAAGATTGAAGATATGCTAGTACTACTTAACGTACCGGTAGTTTCCATGGACAAATTCGTCCACTCTAATGCATTAATCTTGCTTTCCGAAGCTTTGATCAGCTGAAGAAGTGCTTCATTTACCTGCATTCTTCGTCATGTCTATAGTTAGTTATCAAACACATAACAAGAAGTTTTTCGGTGTAACAACTTGATGGGACTTCTGTATTAGCATGAAGAAGAAGAAGAAATTTTGTTTGACCTCTTCAGTCCTTTCATGACTGACAAGATGGCCTCCATGAAGTTCCACCATTCTAGCAAAAGGGTATAGCTTCGCTGCAAGTGCTCGCGCATGGCATAATTGGGCAATAACATCATCCCTAATATTAATATTAATCGGATAAGAATGACTTGTTACCGAAAGACTTAATGTTATTATTAATTATAGTATCTGTTATTATATATGAACATTCATACATACCTCCCATGGATGATGGAAATAGGAAACTCGGCGGAGCAGATGGATTCCAACTCCTTCTTGGATAACTTGTGGGTCCAGCAAGCATTGATCTGACCGTCCAATCCATATTTCGACTGCATTCCTGTTGCTGATATAGCTTTCACATATTCCTGCAAAAGAATGCCAATGGTTCATGTTCATCATCAAGAATATTATTAAACGTTAGCTCTGTTTCTTTTTCTTGTGTTTTTTGGATGAAAAAGAGAAGTTGTGTCTGTGGCATAACATACTTGATACAAAATTGCTCTGCGTGTACTGGTTCCTACATATTCCTCAAGAAATTCCTGCATATGTAACATCCAAACAAAACCACCAAAGTTGTACTTGAGTGAAACACAAAAACAAAAATAAAACTACACAAAAAAGTCATATATATTCACCTTTGAATAATGGGTGTCGAGATCAACAGCAGCCCTTTGTTCAGGAGTTTTTGCCTTGAGAAAACGGACAGCAATTGACAAAGTTCGACGGTCAAACTGCGAACAAGGATGAATAAACTACGTGATTAGATGTGGCTCTCAGACATCTTTTTATTCAAGGTGATAGATAGCAGGGAGTACTGTTACAAACACATTAGTGAGCATAGATTCATCAATAGTAAAAACGATATCAAGCACTCAATAGTATTCTCAAGTGACCAAAATAAACATCACAGTTTTAGGGCATGGACTAACATACACTACAAAGTTGAAAGGAGGGAGTGTGAGACTATTCTAGACAAATTCTAAAAGTGAGATTATTTTGCACATATCTACCAATGTTTGATTTCGTGCATATTTTTCTAGACATGTCTTTGATATTTTGAGCAAATTTTTCTATTTTCGTTGATTTAGATCAGATTAGCACTTTTTCAAATGGATACAACCATAGAATACTTCCCAAGAGATTAGCTCTTAGGGCTGGAAGTAGCGACCGTTGTCTTCAGGAACAAAGACACATAATATGGAGTGTAAGAGAATTACTATGTGCTTGAAAGTTAACCCCATTACTCATGATGGGTGCTCATACACTTTGGTTGAAATAATTCATGAATGTTAGAAGTGACTGATTTCTTTTAAAATCCATAAGTTGTCTTTGATATGCATGGGAGATATCCACCGGAAAAGAGAAAGAATAAAGAAAGAAAGAAAGAAAGAAAGAAAGAACAACCTTTGGTATGCACTGGAAACCTCCACCTGTTACATTCAGTAAAGCCAATGACAAAATTCTGTTAGGTACCATTGTAGCCAACTTGCAAGCAATCATAGCTCCTGCACCATCCAAAATAATACGCACCAACAAAGTCAAGTCCAATGACCATAACATGAATATTTCTATTAATGGATTAGAAAAAACGAGTAATATTCTTATTGTTTCACAGATAGGTATATAAAGCTAAGTTGGTAACGGGTGAAATGAAGAAAAAAAGCCTTCATAAATGGGTTGTTCTCCATTCTTAACAACATGAATAATATGCTCTAGGGTTATTTTGCGTAATGCCATATCATTTGTTCACCAAATAAGTTAAGCGGACAATTACCTTCAGACAACTCAAAAAAATAAAAGTAGAAAACTAAATTTGGAGATAGTATATACAATTATACATGTAGGAAATCGTGAAGAGTGCCACCCAAATCTTGACATTGCACTAATTAAACTCACCCATTGAATGGCCAAATACATGTGCTTTTTCCCAACCTAAATGATCCATCAGAGCTATTGCATCTTTTGCCATGATTCTTGTTCTGCATCACAAAACGTGAAACATCAAGTTTAGCCTCTCGCAATTGATGATTTTACTGTTGCAAATGACTTCTGTGAATTCTTTTTAAACAATGAATATCAAATTTCATTTCAAATTGTTAACATTACAATGGATCATTAGGCTTTCAGTAATTCTGCAGACACATTCACATCTAACAAAATCCAAGATTCTGAAATCAACTAGGCTGCAACTGTGAAATCACTTTATTCCCAGTAAAGTGATGCACAAAGGCTATCTACCTCCCAGGAAAATCAAAATCCAAGAATACACAGAAGCTGTAACCACTAGAAACGCAAAAAAATCCAATCTTTGAAAGGAAACTCACGTGTATTGGTGTTTCTTAATTGGCACGGAGCTCAAACCCATTCCACGATTGTCAAAAGCACAAACCTCGACGTTTCCATTGCCACCTCCGTCGCCGGACGGCGACTCGGAGTCATTGGGAGTCACCGTTCCGGCGAGCTCTTTGATTTGCGGAAGCCATGAATCGTGCGTCCCAGCCAAACCTAATAACCATCACCAAAACCAGCTCAAACATCAAAACTTTCAGATTTTCTTGGATAGTTTTTATATAAAAAAAGTCAAATATAAAATTGGTTTCTTTAAAATCAAGAAAAAAAATATAAATACCAATGATCATGAGGACCTTAACTGGTCCCTGGCCATAAGTCCGATAGAAGATCGTGATCCCATTGTTCTGAGCAGCATCTTCTTCGTTTTGGTACTTACCCACCTCACAGCTTGGCATCTTCACCTTCCCCAAATTAACAAATTTATCCCAGAAATAATGCACACACATAAATTTATGCACTCAAGAAAAAAATGTACATAAATTTATAATAATAATTTAGTCCACCTCCGGCCAACGAACAAAAAAAAGTCGGTCAAGAAACGTTGGAGTCTGTTTTTCTCATTCTCCGTGTGAATTCCATCCGGCAAGGCAAAGCAACCAAGGAAGGAAAGTTCAAAACGTTTTCTCTAATTCTGTTGCGAGTCAACCAATTTATTTCATACAGACGGGGTTAAAAATTATTTAAACTTGCTGTTTAGAAAATTAATTCATTTGATAAAATAATACGGAGTGCTTAAAAATTAGAATACTCGATATATTATATGAATTTAAATTACGGAATATTTATAGAGAAAATTTTGTTTGAACTCCTTACATAATTTTGAAAAAAAGATAAATTAAGAATTAAATGTATCACATTGGAATTCAATATATCTTGCATTTTGGTTTTAATTTCTTTGACTTATTTTCCTTAGCATTATTCTCTTGCCTTTCAATACTCTTAAAAGTGCTTCCAAGAGAAACAAAACCATACATTCTCTTCTACTGAAGATGTTTTTAGAACATCTGTCCTTTTAAAGAGAACAAACATAACAACTGCAGAGAACAACATAGCAAAGCATATTTTTTCTCTCATTTTTATCATCATCAAACGCACTAGAAAGTGCAGGTGTATAGCATCCCCAGGCTAAGGCATTTACATATACATACAGAGTGTATGTAATTTGATGTCGGTTTTAAAGTCTCAGCTCAATCCTGCTTTCAGTTTGATGCTCTCTTCATAGGAAAATTCTTGATAACACCAATATAATCACTAGCTCCAATCGTTGATAATGCTTTCTTGAGGTAAAGGCCAGTGAATCGCCCATCGCTTTGGCATTGTTTGTATGAAAGTTCTACGGTAAAATGGACTTGAAACATGAGACATTTGGCAGTGTCAAACTTGGTGTCATCCGTGGTGTGGCTGCAGGATGACTCTTGCTTACAGCTTTGGGAGTGGAACCTTTAATATTGTTTCACAGCATGCTTGTACTTGTCTTTGAGACGTGCCAATCTTCTTTCAAGAGGGAGTTTCTCGTGTCTCAACCCTATTGTCGTCATGTAGTGCACGACCTTCTTGAGTGTCTCCATAACCTCTTCACTCTCACTCCCAAAAGCTTTCTCTTGAATTTTCAAAATTCGCTTCAGATGCTCCAGCAACTCATTGTCATCTCTTCCTAGTCTTTTCTGGATAGAAACAAGACAGTCAAGAACCTCCCCTGCAAAAGAACACATTTTTATGCTTAAAACAAAGCACAAATATATCATTTTGAAGAGTTAATCAACACGGAGTATTTCTTTGGATAAAAAGATTATTATAACAATAGTATTCAATCATAGGGAGCTAACCAACAGGAAGAGAATCTTTTCCAAAGGCCTTCTCGCGAATGCGCAAAACCTCTAGTGCATACTTCTCGGCTTCATCAACTTGGTTCAAATTAAAGAGAGTAAGCGCAAGATGGAGCATTGGGAAGCTAATAGATTGATCATCACGTGGCAGAGTCTTCAACATAATCTGTAAACTTATGCGCAGCAACTTCTCAGCTTCAGCATAATTTTTGGACCGAGAATATGAAGTGGCAAGATTTAATAGATGTTTAACACAGTTGGGATGGTCTTTCCCTTTAGATTTCTCTGTAATCAGTAAGCATTCCTCCAAGAGGGCACGCCCTTCATTGTTCCTGACAGCAGATAGAAAACAATGAGGAAATATTTAAGGGTCAGTTAAAATCGAATACGGAGTAATAAGTTGATTAAAATGTTATAGGATCACAAGTTATGATAATTTTTTGTTTTTATTAAATCTCAAATATATATCACAAATATTAATTTACCTTCCTACCAAGTGAAGTAACTCTGCAAAGTCTGTTCTGATCTTCTCCATAACTTTGTCATCTACAGCACATCCAGAATATTTGAGAACCTGAAGAGCCTTCCTGTATAGATTCACGGCTTCATCAATCTTACCTGTAGAAGTACAAAGACCAGACAGGTGTATGACATAAACTCTGAGTGATGTTTATATGTTTTTCCCTAATTTGCATTTCAGTGCAAGAGTAAAGTGAAATGAGAAATTTGTACAATTTACTTACCTTTACTATATTTTGCCTTTGCAAGAGAGCACAAAGCCATTCCAACTTTTACATCATTTTCCCCGTATAAATTCGTGCAGATGCTTATAATTCTACAACATGACAAGAAAAGAGGGAGAAGAGGAATAAGAATAAGAAAGAATAATAAGCATGCAACCAAACACAGCCAAGAACTGAACAAGAAAACATATAACCTTTTGAAAGCAGTTTCGGCATCAGCTGCTCTTCTTTCCTCCAGTAAAAGGTTGGCCAAAGCAAATAGAGGCAACACTAATTCTTCATTTTCAATGTCATTGCAAGATTCCAATACCGAAATTGCACGGTTATATATTTCAATGGCTTTTCTGGTCCTACCTAAAGAGCCCAGAGCTTTTGCCATTCCTAACAATGGAACAATGAGAAAAGAACTGGTCTCCCCTGCCAAGTTGAAAAGGCTGTTTATATTGCAAATTTCCTTCTCCAAGATAGAAATTAGCCATCTCACGCCACCCCCAAATAATAATAATAATAATAATAATAATAATAATAATAATAAGTAAGCAAATAACCAAAAATCACCATATTTTATCTCCACAATTGCAAGTGCCCTTTTGTATGATAGTAAGGACATTTCAAGCTTCTCCAATTTATCATACACGCTTCCCATATGCATTAGTATTGAGTCCAAAAGCGGTTCATCATTTTTCAAATATTCAACAATCCCATTCAACTGCCAAGTACCAATATTAATACCACATCGGTAACAAAGAAAACAAGTAGGAAATGAACAAATAAAAAACACAAAGGAGGATGAGTGCACAAAAGAAATTACCAGGTCCATTATGGAAATAGCTGTGGTTAGGTCTCCAAGGGCAATGTGGCCCAATGCTATTATGTCAAGAACCCTGGCCTCTTCTATACCTCTGAAACCGGCATTGATCTGTTCTTTAACAGCTTCATAATTTGCCTTAAGCAGATCAACAGCATCATTTTTATTTCCTGATTTTATCATGGAATTTACTTCATTAAAGAGAACACGCAGTTGCTCTTCAAGATCGTTAATGCAGCTCAAGTCACTTTTTAAGCATTTGCCCATATTTCTAGTCCTACAATAAGAACATACATTGACAAATAATTACTCTGTATAACAGATATGGAAGTACATTCTGCACCAAAAGTACAATACTGGGTCTGTAAATTTCCATAGTGACAGAATTTAATCAACTTTTCATAATTTCACAAGGAACCAAAAATATATAGAAAACAACAAAGAAATGTGTGACAGAATTAAGTTTCACTCACAAATGATAATATAGCAATCAAATACATAAAAAGATTCAACCTTTTCAACCGCTTTATCATAAAAAACGAAATGCGGAAATAATGCGGAATTACCCAGATAATATTGAAGTGAAATTTGCAATGAATGGGACTAAAACACAAGTCATTTCCCAATGACTTAAACTTTTTTATTCCCTAAATAGGACTTAATATTGAATGAAAAAATAGGCAACTATAAAGTTCATACCTTTCTGAAGTTGCTTCATTTAGAACATCCGAACTGATATGTGTCCCAATACCAGACCCAGAAAAGGATGTTCTCAGAAGAAAGCAAAGCTTAACATCGCACTTTTGTCTTCCGAGAAAATTACAAAAAGACAACCTGGTTGTATGCAATTCTCCAAAATTGGTGTTTGGGCATACTGTATTTATCCTGAAAATTGAATGACACATAAGTAAATTTTGAAAAGAAACGAAAAAACACACAGACACAATACATAGGAAGAAAAACAAAAAAGAAATGGAATGGAAAATAATATATTCACCCGCAGCACATGTTAGCATAAGAGCAGAGAAGAGATGCCATTTCTACAGTTTGCAGGAAAGAGCTCGGACCATATTATAGCTCCGGACGGCAATCCAGATGGTCGCTGGCCTAGACTCTAGAGCAGCGCTTCGAACTTTCTCGTCCAACCATGTCTTACATTTTTTACACTTCTTTTTTTTTCGTATTAACTTCAATTTCTTTTAGTTTTTTATTTCTTCTAATTATTTTTAAATTTTAATTCTTCTCACTCTTCTAATTATTTATTCCAATTCGTTCCAACAATAACTGAAAAATTATTTAGATTTATTTTTATAAATTATTATTATTATTATTATTATTATTATTATTATTATTATTATCTCCATCAAACAAAAAAGTAATTTAAATTCAAAATTTATTAAAAACTTGTGTTCTATATATAAATTTTATTTAAAGTCACATAAATTAAAAATATTAGATTAATTAATTTATAATTTCTTTTGTGATTTTGAATTTATTTAACTATATTTTCTTGAAATGTGTTTAAGTAAACATTTTAAACTTTTGATCAAAATAATTGGACATTTATTTTATTTCATTAAGTATCACATACTCCGTAACTTTTAAGAGGATGTTTACATGCATGGTCTGAAGGTCTGCATTTCAAATGCGGATCTTTTCACATTTTTCATGAGCTTGTAGGTAGATATTTTCTTTTCTATAAAAGATTCACTTCTTTTATGCTATAAATGCATTAATGTTTATAAATTGAGCATGGAGAAGAATTTGTCAACTTTTAATATGCATATACTTCTATTTTTTGTAGGATGATGCTTACATAGTCTCAAGTTCTACATTTAAATATGGACCTTTTCACATTTCTTATGGGTCTGTATGTGAACATTTTCTTTTTTTGTAAACAAACTCACTTTTCTAATACTACATATGTGATAAGGTCTATAAAATAAGCATGAACCTTAAATCCACAGAAGAATTTATTTTTTTTTTGTAATGTGCATGTTTTAAGGGTATGCAAAATAATAAATGTTCATACATCAATTTCAAACACAGAAATATTTCAACGTGCCAAAATTTCTATTAAGAAAGAAACACTGTAAGTTTATTACTCACCCAGTGGAAGGAAGATCTATATTTAGACTAGGTGACATTTTGGTTTTTAAATGGAAGTGAGGAAGTCACACTAGTATGGATTTAACAAGGACTTTCCCTCTTGAGGGTTTAGGGACTAATATTTTCACGCTGAGTCAAGCTGCGCTAAGAGCTGTTTATGCAAACTGTCCAAATATGATCAAGCGTAACTTGACAACCAACACATGTTTATACCATTTACGTTTGACTTGTTCGAGTCCAACAGGTCGTGTGTAGTTATATTATAACT